GATCACATGTGCATGAATCCTTGACTTAAGCCACAGAGATGAGAGCTGACAATTAGCGGAACTGCAATGGAGCTTCAAGACACCTTGTTGTAGCCTAGCCAAAAGGTCAGAGAAAATCAATATTGCAATTGATACATATGATAATTTCCAAAAATAAACCAAAAAAACAAATGTAAGCTTTTATTAGAAAATATGACTCACTGGAACAGATGCTTTCTTATCGACAAATTATTTCTCTTCATGATTTAACTGCCCAAGTTGTATCTTTCATGAATGAAAATCACATAGACAACGAAACATATAAGTACGTAGAAATCTTGAATTGGAATCTGGAAATGCCTGTCATTTCTTTCCAGTTAAACAAGGAACGAATTGCAGACCAGACAGCTCGTTACTTGTGTCAGTCATAACTGTTGATGATCTAATAAAGAAATAACTTGATGCACATTTTGACAATATAAAATATAATACTTTGATCCTTCAGGTAGCTCTTCGTACGAGATCAAATTAAACATGATTGTAATTATAACCATGGGGGAGCGCTAATCCCATAGGATTATACAGCGCATGTGGGGGGGACGGAAGGTAATTCAGGCTCAATTCAGGGAACCGGGGTGCAGATCCAATTCCCTAGATCAAGAGTCCCTCACCAGCATCAAGGAACCTCCCTTGAGGGGAAATTAAGCATGAAAACAAGGAACTGTCTTGGCCCCAACACTAAAGAGTTGTTACACTGCCAGATAGTCCGATATTTATTTTACTGCGTTACTTGGTGGTAATCATACATCAGCAACTGGCATCAGCAGACAGTCATGGTCGAGCACCAGCATTGAGACAGCTATGTGATCAGATCACTTTACAATATCCAGGAAAAAGAACTTTACCAGAATTTTCAGGAACAACGAATACAAACGGGTGAAGGTTTTTTATAACAACATGAAAAAGCTCAAATTGAAAAACTTTTATTCCCTTGAAGAAAAAAGCCATTTACAGATCAAAGCAAGTAGGTTATCTTAACTGCTGAGAGAAGTGCGTTTGGAAATGCGAAAGTGACTGTTTTGAATAAAGACTTAGAAAAATGAGCGAGGTTTTCTGCCATCCACTGGGATCATTACCTTGGGCACGGTCTAATGTTAATGGAATTTTGTAAAAAAAAATTGTTGCTATTGCAAAGAAAATGAGATATAATGCGTCTCTAGTTGAAGAGGCCCTTCATCCTAGTGCCACGCTAATTGATGCCAAGGTACAAATTCAAAGACAACAGCAAAAATCCCACATTTGAAGAAGTTTCCGATTGTTTTCGCTCTGACGCTTCATACTGTACAGGACAGCAACAGAATTTGTGATCTTTGATGTGTACAATGAGGAATCAATTAAGTCTGCTGGGTATGTTATCCGGGGTTTCACGGAAGGAATAATCTTCAGTCACATAAAACTTGGATACAAATTAAAGAGCTCGAGACTATTGCTGGCATGTATAAAGAGCAAGAATAAGCTTGTATATTTTCTGGCTGATAGGAAAAGAAGCGAATGCCTTGGCGCTAAGGTCATGTTTGTAACATATGAGGGCCAACTTACCAAGAGGGTAAGTTTAATGCATTAGCAATCATGCTGTTTGGTAAGCCTGCACAACTTTGATGTGCATAACAGGTGATACAAAGGTATTAATCACTTGTCTTCCTTTGTGCAATGACATCAACAGCAAGATCCACACACGGTAAACAAAAACTCACACTATATAAGTCGATATTACAAAAGAGGCAACAACACTCCGCTCTGCTTTGCTTGGACTGGATCACTGGACTTATTTCACAATGTAAGTGCCCTTTCTGGACATAGAAAAGCGAAGGCCTTGAAAATTATTATTCATAACAAAAAAAAAAAAAAAAAACATGGATACGTTTGCATCTCTTGGTTCAGAGTGGGAGCTTTCCAAGAATGATTTAAGTATAATCCATTAATTTATTTGTCAGCTTTACTGCAGAAATAGGAAGATCTAGAGAGGAAATTACGATAGCTTACGTTTCTCTATTAAAAGGTTGACGGAGAATCCATAGAGCTAAATAACAAAAAGGCACAATACCGTGACTGGAATGATACACAAATAACCCGCACATAAAAGACAGAAGCTTACGACGACGTTTCGGTCCGACTTGGACCGAGTCGGACCGAAACGTCGTCGTAAGCTTCTGTCTTTTATGTGCGGGTTATTTGTGAATCCATAGAGCTACCACCTTGCGAGGACACATCTTTGTGAGGACACTCTTAGGCAGTACACCATATGAACCAACCATCAATCTGCTATTTGAAGATGCCTGGAAAATTATCCTGATATTCCTAACAATAATTATTATGACAGAGAAAGCAGCATAGAACGATACAACATTATCCAGTGGATGATAACAACTCCTGCTCCAGATGCGGGGTGTCTTACGTCATGTAAATGTAAAAATAGCTTGCTGGTCATCATAATGTACTTATGTATTAAATTTTCTTCAATGTAACTCTGCTTGCAGTTATTTTCAAACATGATTAATAGAGATGATGATGACACACAAATAAGGCACACTTAGGAGAGGGAAACTAATGACGAAGTTCGGTCCAACTTTGACCGAAACGTCGTGACTAATGAGTGATCTAAGTCGGTCCAAAGCGTCGTCATTACTTTTCCCCCTCCTGAGTGCGGGTAGTTAGTTGATTGTTCCAGTGCGGGTAGTCTGTTGATTGTTCCAGCAACGAGACTATTTTTCATGATGATAAATCACAGTAGGATAAAGAGAAGCTTTGTTACAGTGAAGACGATGATGACTAAATTACCATGTTGGTTTTGGCTCTGTATTACAGCGTAGAACCCAACTGCAAGTGAATTTATTAGTATTTATGCTACGTGTATGGTCTTGTTTGAGCACTCGTGGAAGATCTACATTGCAGTGAATATGTTTGTTGTATTGTAGTGCCAAAACTTTCATTCATCAATCTAATGATCTTACCCGTTAATATTACATTAATCTGCGAGTTACTCTTTCGACAGCAGAAAATAAAGAAATAACCGTACTTTATGTAGTTTACTTATTCAATTTTTCCACTGATTATATATAAAATGCATTAATTTTCTGTTAAAATTTGTTTCGGCTCTGTTCAAACAGCTTTTAAATTAGTTATAAAAAAGTTTTAACTTTGCCGGATATAAAATTATAATAGAATATCTTACATGTACACAACTGGGCTAAATTTAACATAATCATAGCGCCCAAATAAAACGCAGTATCTTATTTTGAAATATTTTATTATTTTTGTTATCAGTAAACTTACCGACCCATTTCAGGCCGCGTCGACAACTCATATTGTATACTAACAGATACACTTTAGTCACTCGTTTTAATGAGTTGAAATTAGAGCGAATTTCATTATATAAACTGAAAAAAATGCCAAAAATGTGCGTTTTTTCATTGACATATTTTAATTACTGTACCAGTAAAAGTAATTAAAACTACTTCACATTAGATAAAGTCACATTTTAAAGAACTTTTAATAATGGGTAAATTTTTATAGGCTCAATACTTAATAAGTTATAGGCCCATGTCTTATATACTCTGAATCTGCTGAAAATGGATTTTTTTTTCTAAGATGGCGTCCAAAAAGGCAATTTAACTGAGAATCTAAAGTGTCCATCACATGATTCTGTAAGTTGAAGGACTGACTTATCTAAAAATCACCGTGAACTTTAGTCCCTACGTTTGGTACTATCTCAAAATCTGGCGTTTGGCTCACAGATTAATTCCACAACATAATTCCAAGGGTTTAAAGGTGACAGATTAGGTCCTTGCATCTAAATTTGCTCCAGTAATCCTTGAGCATTACACAGGCTCAGTTAAGGTAAGTTCTCGTATGATTGTGGATGAGGATGGGAAGCAATACAGCAATAAACGCCAAAATACGTTTAGTGAACAAAAATACTTTCAGTGTTCCAGCTATTAGATGACAAATAAAGTACACACCATTAGATAGCGTGAAGAATTATTTACACTATATAAAGTGTGATGGAGTAATTATTCAAATTGCAAATAGAATTTGGAAAGAGTATGAGAACACTGCTATTTCTACAGTTATTGCATACCAATACCTAAGAAATAATTCTAGTATAGTTCTAACCATCCCATGGCAGATAGGGGTTTAAAGGTTCATATTGTCCCTGGACTTTCCTCCCTCATTCTGAAACAAACAGATAGACTCAAGTACCTAGCTGGACATCCCATACCAGCATGGTGCACACATACTGGCAAATTGTCAACTGCACCTCAGACATGCTAAGATGACATGAAGGATTGTGGTAAACATCAAGGATTGTATTTTTTTTATTAACACATCGGCAGTTTCCCACCAAGGTAGGGTGGTCCGAGAAAGAAAATCTTTCACCATCATTCATTCCATTACCTTCACTTATCCCAAAGAGCCCTGACCACATCAGAGCCCCGATGAGCCTACTGGTAAGCAATAAAGTAGCCTATGGCGTGAGTTGGCCAGCGTCTTCTACTGTCTTCCACTTATACCGCTGCTTCCCACGGGACTGATTCACATTCCACCACCCACGCTCACAGACCCTGTGCCCCCACAATTGGAAAATAAACCCCGAAGAATTACCTTAAATTTTACTTTTTAAGCTCATTTACAGTACTCACAAAATGCATAGCATATTTCTCAAATTATATTTACAATTATCACATTGTTTATACATATATGATTTACAACTACGTATAAGTTTATAAAATTATGGCACGCTTCTCCATACGTTTTACACAGCAATGCAGAAACTTGGGTAACACAAGGCAACTGCAGAACCACTAGCATAAACCTAACAAATGCTGCATTATAAGGTTTCAATCCTGCTAGTGTAACTAACAAATACAGCTTACATGGCTTATACTGACATACATCTAACACGTGTAAGTTAATCTGGTGATCTTAATGCTAACAGAATCTAACCTGTGACTATTTCCGCAGGAGACCTTTTGTCGAGGGCGTTGAAGTGGTTGTGGTGGAGAATGTGCCGCTGCCGCCGCCGGCCGCAGGTGCCCAGAGCTAACCACCAACCCACGGCACCGTACACCAGCGTCGACCCTGCTAAGGTATAAACACAAACACTTGACGATGTGTCGGAGTGGGCGCCTGTGACAAGCGGGGTTTCGCAAGGGTCAGTCCTATGTCGGTGCTGTTTCTCGTATATGTGAATGACATAACGGAAAAGATAGATTCAGAGGTGTCCCTGTCTGCAGACGGCGTGACGCTAATAAGGAGAATTCAAGTAGATGAGGATCAAGTGGGACTACAAAGGAATGTGGACAGGCTGCAAGTCTGGTCAAACAACTGACTCTTGGAGTTTAACTCCACCAAGTGCAAAGTAATAAAGACTAGGGAAGACCAAAGAGTACAGAGTACAGTCTAGGGCCTAAAGACTGCAGACCTCACTCAAGGAAATGTATCTTGGGGTGAGTATAATACCGAGCACATATACTGAAGCGCACATCAACCAAATAACTGCTGCAGCACATGGGCGACTAGCGAAGCTAACAATAGCGTTTCGACACTTAAGTAAGGAACCAGTCAAGACTCTGTACACCGTGTACGTGTACAGAGTATGGAGCACCGGCATAGAATCCACACTTGGTCAAGCACGTTGAGAAATTAGAGAAATTGCAAAGGTTTGCAACAAAACTAGTCCCGGAGCTTAGGGCTGTGTCCTACGAGGAGAGGTTAAGGGAAATCATCTTGACGACACTGGACGACTGGAGGGATGGAGGGGGGATTTAGTAGACGACACTGGAGGACAGGAGGGATAGGGAGGTTACAATAGCATAAAAATTGCCGAGATAAATTGACAAGATGGACAGGGACGGGACGTTTCAGGGATGGGAGACAGCAGCAAGGGGTCACAACTGGAAGTTGGAAACTCAGATGAGTCACAGGGATGTTAGAAAGTATTTGTTCAGTCAGAGTTGTAAGGAACAATTTTTAGTGGAGGCAGGATCCGCACATAGGTTTAAGAAGATATGTTGAGCAGAACGAAAATAAGTTATGCACGATCGAAGTCACTGGTGACAGTTCTCAGACAAATAGACACATTAAAACCTAACAAACCCCCGGACTCTGAAGAACTCTTCTCTAGGGTTTTAATGGAATATAAGGAGGAACTAAATGAACCTTAGTCTAGTCTTTTCAACTTATCTCTACAAACTGGCATAGTGCCAGATAAGTGAAAAATGACAAATGTGATACATGTCTACAAAGCAGAAGACAGGTCCTAAGCTTCGAACCTCAGACCAATATGCTTAACCTCCATAGTGGGAAATTGATGGAATCTATAGTTGCCGAGGCTATTCGAAGCCACCTTGAAAGACTAATTAATTAATGAATTCCAGCACGGTTTTACAAAGGGTCGTTCCTGCCTTGCGAATTTACTAACTTCTTTCATTAAGGTATTTGAGGAAGTAGATCATGGTAAGGAACATGGTATTGTGTGTATGGACTTCAGTAAGGGTTTTTGACAGTTTCGCATTGGAAGCTATTGAGGAAGTCGAGGCACATGTAATAGGAGAAATTTTTTCATGAATAGAGGTGTGGCTGACAGATACGCAATAGAGGTCACACAGCATTGGTTTCAAGTTGTAAAAATTTAGATTAATAATGGATAGGGGAAAGCACTGGTTTGATAATAGAGTTATGGATGAGTAGAACAAACTCCCAAGTACCGACACTGAAGTTAAAACGTTGTGTAGTTTTAAAAATAGGTTAAATAGGAATATGAATGGGTGTGGGTGGGTGTGAGTTAGACCTAACTATCTTGTGCTAATAGGACTAATGCAGTGCTTTCTTCAGCGGATGTGACTTGGACCTGATTAGCTTGGGCCAATAGCTTAAGCCAGTAGGTGACTTGGACCTGCCTAACATGGACCAATAAGTGACCTGGATCTGCCTAGTAGGGCCAGTAGGTCTGCTGCAATGCTCCTTCTATTTTGTTAATAGATAGTGGACGAGTAGCGACCTGCGAACAGTCGGGGCAAAGAGCTGTGCCACGACCCCGGCAACCGCAGATAGGCGACTACAAATAGGTGCTTACACACACTCACAATTACACAGACACAGACACCCACACACGGAAACACACACACACACACTCGCAGCTTCCTGGTGCACCCATGCAAAGCAGCCCCAACGAAGTACATGTATTTAAAAGAAAGAGCCAGTAGTAGGGAAGCAGTGAGAGTGATTGCCTTTACTGTAAGGGGCAGAGTGACTGTCTTTACCGGACACCCACACCAACAACATTCAACCCACCCATCCAGAGGAAAGAGAAGGTATCTCCTTTATATAGGTAATGGACACTCTTACCCCGACACACCCATAGTCCACCCACCAACCATGCACATCTCCTCCATTTCCTCAGATCTAGAGCACTCATCTCCACCACCCTTCAACCCACCCAACACCCACCACCCTCAGCCCTACAACCCACCATTCCATCTTCAATTCCTGTATTAAAATCATCTACCCTCCCACGAGCAAAACCCACCGATCCACCCATATGGTAACTCCAATTCCTCGGATAAGGTTTACCTTCCAACCCCACCCAAAACCTAATCCTACACCAGAAGGGAAGTTGCAATTCTTCGAATCATGATTACCTACCTCTCTAATCATTTGACAACCACTAATAATCCTCCAAACTCACTCCTTTCCTACTCGCCCCACTTTCGAACCCACCCCGCTTACCACTTCTATCACCTACTTCACCCACGAAAATTACCCTTCATGACATAATCGTCATGGTGCAGTTAAGAGGATATAATGGTCTATAATTATGTATTAACTTTAGTCTTTATAATGTGCAAGAAAGGTATAGAATACCGACAAGATGAAAGTTAAGACACACGTTTCGCCATCCAGTGGCTTTATCAATACAGATTCTCTTTTGATAAAGCCACTGGATGGCGAAACGTCAACAATAAAGATAACCAGATGTTGCACATGTGTCTTAACTTTCAGTGTTTATAACACAAATTAATTCTTAAGGTTTACTTAGTGATCATTTTAATTCTTAAGATTTTCACAGAAAAGTGATAATTTTGGGAAATACATGACCACTGACGGGGCTTGATGTGTACAAGCTTGTCATTCTTCAAGACGTTTGTTGGTCAGCGTTAAGCTGAGAACAAAAGTAAGGCAAGAACAGAGGTAAGCCAAGAAAATACTTTTTATCTCTTTATTTCTTTAACTGATAGATAAAACACATGAAAAAAATACGGGGTAATAAAAATGAGCAATAAAATACAGATTTATAATTTTACTCATTTTATTTTCCTAGACACAGCAAAGGAAAATTTATGAGATGGACACACATCAGAAGGTTACTCTCATGGCTCATCCTGGGTTAATTGTCAGTCAAAAAACTCACATTTAATATATTTTTGAATGAGATGGTCTGAAGTCAGTCAGTGAAATTAATCTTATTTCTTTTTCTTAAGTTATTAAAAGAGATTGAAGAAAAAGAAGAAATAAATAGAAGGGTAATCATCAGAAATCTTATCATATAATTTTGTAATTAATAATAATATATTTACTACGTGTACAAGGTATACAGACATAGCTGACATCAATGACATACTACTATACAGAAAGCCGCTTGTTATGCAGAGCATTTCGGGAAAATTAGGTCAGTTTTGTTCCAGGATGCGACGCACACCAGTCAACTAACACCCAGGTACCTATTTGAAACTCATAGGTGAGCAGGGACAGGGACGGCAGGTGTCTTATGGAAACATGTCCCTAATGTTTTCCAGCCGTACCGGAGGAGATTCGAACTCCGGACATCAGTTTGTGAGCTGAGTGCGTTAGCGATGGAGCTAGCAAAACAAAAGGAAACGTGTAAAATGACAAAAATTGACTGTCTTAGATTATTCTCAATCTACATTCCTGCATTAACACACGACCCTTCTCCCATGTAAATAAGCTTGAAATTGCTAGTCTTAGAGCTGAGAAGGTTGACATGATAAAACAAAACACTGAGAAGGTTGACATGATAAAACAAAACACTGAGAAGGTTGACATGATAAAATAAAACACTGAGAAGGTTGACATGATAAAACAAAACACTGAGAAGGTTGACATGATAAAATAAAACACTGAGAAGGTTGACATGATAAAACAAAACACTGAGAAGGTTGACATGATAAAACAAAACGCTGAGAAGGTTGACATGATAAAACAAAACACTGAGAAGGTTGACATGATAAAACAAAACGCTGAGAAGGTTGACATGATAAAACAAAACACTGAGAAGGTTGACATGATAACACAAAACACTGAGAAGGTAGACACGACAAAACAAAACACTGAGAAGGTAGACACGATAAATCAAAACACTACAAGATCCTTGTATGTCGTATAAACACTTGAAAGGTAGCAAAGGTTGAGTTAATTCTTGGTTTACACTCCGACATTCTGCACATGCATCACTCTTTTCCTATGAAAGTAATAGAATTATGCCAAAAAAAGTACGAACTACAGTTTGTCTTGATAAAATAGTATTATACAGAAAATATGTGACAAAGGTTGGTTTTCTTGAACTACTCTCACTATTTTATTTACGTTTATATATCGGCCAATGAATTGATCTTATTTCTTAATGTTATAAGAAATAAACTAAGAAGAGAATTAATCTTATGCTAAATGAAAGCTAAGTCTTAGCTTCAGTTACAGTTATATTTTATTTACTGAATAAAGGCAAGCTAAGAAAAGATGGTAAATAAGGAAAAGACAATCTCATGGGAAGACCCACAAATGTAATAGTGAAAAGATAATAATTCATATTAAAAGACAGGTACACACGCGGTAAAATGAGAAAGATTGACTTTCTTGCCCTAACCTCAGTTAATAATTCTACATTCTATGAATAGAAGATATTCTATTCATGTGATTCTTTGTACATCCTCCTCAAACACATCAAATTTTAAGATTAACCTCCTTTCATGTTTAAAATCTCTAAGTCCACATTCACACAAGTCACACTCACATTATGGTCTCTGTCTCTACCACCCATTAGTGTGTTGACCATAAACCATGTTTTCCCTAAAAATATGTCACCAGTGTGTCTGTTCTAGCTCTCTCTTGCTCTCAGTGCTTCGCAGCAAACTTAATTCATGAGGT